GATGGTCATTTTTGGGCCCCATTTGAGCAATCTGGTGTTGCCCTCAATCACTATTCTATTTATGTAACTCTTTCTCATCCAGGGATCTTTTGTCCACTGCTTTTACCCCTCAGGTGCAGCACTTCATCTGAGTTGTTTGTTCTTTCCCAGAGAATGACACAGACTCTGTCACACCACTTCTTATCAGCTTTATCCCTTGCCTCACTCTTGTTTTGTTGGTAACCATTGGATGAAATCTTACAGAGCAGGTGGACAACACCCAACTCACCTTCTTCATTATGTGATGGTTTTGTCTCTTTCTTGACTTTTTTTTCTTACTTTCGTCACCATTCTTCCGTCTACTCTCCAATTTCAATGAGGTAAATACCTAATTTAATTCTTTATCTACTTTTAATAATAGTCTCATCTCCAACTCGGAACCCACACAGTTGCCTGTGTTGTCTCATAAGGTGTTCTTATTTACCTAAATCTGCATTGAATCAGGGGTTACAATGTGTTTAATAAACTCATCTGCCATGGTTCCTGTGTGGCTACTGTTGAGATGAGGTTCTCTGTAAGACCACTGTGGTGGTACATACATACATTCTAGGCTGTACCATCCATGGACTATCACAGAAAAATTCCAGCACATGCTGGATTTTCAAAATAGGTTTCATGGAAATTCATTATACTTTCTTCAGTATAAGATATTTGCAGTGGTTTGGTCCAGTTGTGTTTGGGAGACTCTTGTCATTCCTAGTTCCAAAATGCTAGGGTGGCCAATTGGAGTTCATTACCAGTTGTATGGTCCCTGTGGAGAGAGTCTAAATTGGCAGCACAGTGCAATGGGAAGTAGAACAGGAGTGTCCATGTCATTGCAGTGCAAGTCATCCCCTGTTATATTGTATGCCAATTTGACAAGTTAGATGGAGTGAAGTGTTATCCTTTGGAAACAAGAAGGAATTTTAGTTCTCATTCCTGTATGTGTGATGAGTAAATTGTACAACATAAAACATGTGAAACTGTACAGTCTGATTATTGCCTTAGCCACATTACATCTCATGATCATCCAACCTATTTTGTGTAAATGCTCAGTTGGTCATATATTTATCCCTCTCATCCCTGGAACACATTGGCTCATTTTTGCCTTTTTTTTTCATACTTTTTTCTGGTTATAGAGTTTACCCTGTCTGTGAAGGACGTAGCCACTCATGAGTGTTGCCTCTCTAGTAAGTTGTGCTATTGGGTATCATTCTCTATGTGATTTCCCTTCTTGCCACCTGCTCTGAAGGGAGCTTGTGTAGGTTTTCGTGGTTGCTACTGTATGTGGAGAAGTAAGTTAATCATTTTGGAAGTTAACATTTTTCTAACTTGAATACATATTTCTGATGGATACTTCGCTCTTGCACACCTTCCACCCTTCCTCCCCAGTACTGGTGCACATATATACTTGCTTCATCTAAGAATGAACTTAATTTCAAGTGTAAGTCCTGGTAGAGGATGTGTTGTTCTCCTATTGGTGAAGGTTATTACTACATAATGACAAGTACAATTCATGCCAAAACATGATTTAGGTGGGGGATAGTTCAAGGCTAGCATGAGAAATAGCTACTGTGTGAAGATGGGTATGTTTCTATTAGAAGTACATTTTCAGGTAAGGAAAATGTTGACATTATAAACATATATATATAAATATATCTGTATTTTTGTTATGGTGGTTGCTGCAAGTGAAAACAAACTAAGTTTGGTTTTCTTATTATGCTATGGAACTTTGTTTTTCATCTAAAAAATACAATCCTCTGAAAATAATCTCATTACCCAATGAAACAGAGTGGTTTTTTATTGGTGGGAGGAGACAGCTTACTTCTAAAATTCAAAGTACTGGTTTGTCCAGTACAAATAAGCAAAAAAAAATATAAGTTTAAGTTGATTAAAAAGCTTTTTTGGTAATTAGAAAAGTACTGAAATAGGTTTCTCATTTTCATCAGCAATATTCATGTATTTATTTAATCTTGAGTAAAGGCCTTAAAAGTAAAAAATAAAATGATAAATTATGTTATAGATAGGTCAGAAATTTTTTTATTATCAGATTTAGAAACAATGAAATGAAGAATTAAAAGAGTGTTTAATTCAAATAAAAATTAGGCTTTTGATTTTCATTATGCTTATAAAATGATTTGATAAAAATGTATGTGCTATATCAGTTGTATATTGTGTATGGTTTTAGTTATCTTGATATTATAAATGTGGGTAGAAGATTTCAAGGCTTAGCATGTTTCGTAAGTAAGATTTTAAATCACCAAAGTACAGTATAAAATAATATTCAAAGTGCTGTTTTTGTTGGTTTGTAAAATATCAGCATGAAGTTTTATTTTGAAGGTTTATGAAAGGTGTTGGTCACATGTTCTTATTTGTTTGCTCTTAAGCTCTGCCTGGTCTGATATATATGTATGTACACGTGTTAGACCAGTGTTTCTCAAACGAGCACATTTAGAGGGGGGGGGGGTTCATGAGCTGTCTGTGCTGAGTCAGCTTTTTTCTTTTAGTCCTCGACATGTTTGAGAGGTGCACATATCACCTTTGTTACGAACTATGATGGACTGTGCCAAGAAACATCAAGAATTTGTTCATCCTTGTAAAGATAATGGGGAGTTGTGATGACCAACGCTTGGATGCAGGGGTTGTCTGGCAAATCTGGCCGAGACAAAAGTTGTACTTGTAAATGTCTTACAGATCATTGATAAATTAGAAACAAATCATGACATAATTGATAGCTTCTAAAATAGGTGATTGTATGAAACAATGTACATTTGTTTACTTCACTTATTTTGGTTTTGAATGACCTATAGATTGGAAGCTGTCTTCAGAGAGATCTTCTTCCATCTCTGCCAGTGCAGCCTATTGATGTAGAGGCCATGCGAGTCTACCTCATATTGCCCATGTGCCACCTCTTTTGTAACCCAAAACAGTACCTTGGCACAATCATTGCTCCATTTATTCAGAGCTTACTGAAGTTGCCTGAAACGTTTGCAAGTGTGCTTGGTAAAAAGATTTTTTTTCTTCTAATAATGCATTAATACAATAAATTTGTTATCGATTGAACTAGATAATAATTCTATAACATTTTTATTAAATTCAACAAATTTGGTGTTTGCAACAGAGTGGCATATCAGAAATACTACAGAACTTGCTTAAATGAAACAATAAGAAGAATTGTTAATAAACCAAAGGAATTATTAAATTTATGCAGATTAGTGAATGCTTTTAAGGTGTTGAGTGTACACACCTGCATATCAAATTTCAAAATATAAGTAAAAATAGCAATTCTATTTCAACAATTTTTGACTAAGATATTTTAGAATTGTCATTTTGTTATACTTATTTTGTGTAGTTTGCAAAGAATGAAAAAAGGTTCAAACTTACATTTCTGTACAGCACTTATCAATATGTTTAGAATTTTTCTGCCAAATCCCAAGGCATATGTTTACATTTGGCAAAAAAGTATCATCCCTTAAGAATATAAATCTCAAGGTATTGCTTTCCTTCTCTTTAAATATATTAGAACAGCATCTGGTTTTCACCATTTTATGATCGTAGCATGTGAAGTGAACAACAAGTAATGAAATTAACTTTAAAGTAGTTACAGGCTAAGTTTAAATACCATTGATAGAACAGATTGTAAACTATTTGTATCAATCTAGGATCAATAAAGGCGTGTGAGAAGTGATTTATGGGTTGTTTTTGAGAAAGTGATTAGATGTAGCTCTTGTAGAGAACAACAAAAGAATATAGTGGGAAGCTTATAAAACTTAGGAATAAATTGCAGATATAGAAATGTTTTATAGAGACTTTAGGTTTCTTTAATTCTTGAAAACGTTTTTATGTTAAATTATATTTATTTGAAAGTAGCAGAATTTTTCCTTTATGATAAGACATTAAGTAAGCCTAGTTCAATTTAGAGAGTTAACAGCAAATTTTTCAATGACTCAAATCTTTCTTTATTGAATATTATTGTTACATTTATCATATTTAAACAATGCAGGTAAGTGAAATAAGTTATTATTTATTGAAAATAAACTATTCATTAGATATAAATTGATCATGACCAAGAAAATTGGTAGCAAAAAATATTGTTACTTAGTCTAACATGATGCCATTATGACAGGATAGGTCATAAGTCACTGATGAATGTTTAAATTCATGCTGTGTTATTAATCACTTATAGTCAGAAGTAGTGACTAGTGCAACTGACAAAATAAAACATAAAAAGAAATATGTTATTGAATATCAGTTAAGTTGAAACTGGTTGTATATATAATATAGATTTTTTTTATTAACAGTAAAAGCAATTGAAGTTGTAAAGACAAAAGAAAGTACTTTTATGTTTTTCCAAACTCTGTCTCAACATAATTTTTGAGATTTCACACTATAGAAAAAGTAAATCAAATCTTATGACTTTTTGATTCAAAAATTATAAAATTTTTAGGAAATGTCTAGCAAAACTAGTTAAAGTGGTTCAGTAATTCCACTGTAAGAAGGGAAAAATCAAGGAATGATGATAACGACACCCTCCCTCCTTCCTGGTCTGGAAAGGGTTAACAGTTGTTGTCAATTATGAAATTTTATCCCAATATTCTACTAAATTTGGTAGTTTCAGTATTTCAAAGGATGAAAAAAAAGAAAAAATTATACATATCTTCTGTTGCTTTTCTTGTGCTAAAACAAATAGGAGCTCCAATATTTTACAGTGTTTCTAAAGATCTTGAATTATTTAGCTGCAATCACCATTTTTGGTTTGTTTGCATGAAAAAGAACACTGTATTTTTCAGTCTTTATCAAATACTATAACACAGTTTGTTTTATTTTATGAAATAAGAATGTGTATTTATTTAAATTCATGATTTTTTTTTTCCACTGAAAAATTTCCAAATAGTGTACAGTGATTTTGAATTTAATTCTTGTTTATAGCTAATTTATTGCTTTGGTTTCAATGACTAAAAATGGCTGATACATTCGTATTGTTGATATGATATATGGTTGTCATTTTGAACCAGTAATCTTGAATCTAGTTTTTCCTTTATAATATTCAAAGAGTAAAATGTAACACTTAATTTACAGTTGAAAAGTAGAAAGCCTCTTTTTTTTTTCTTTTTGATACTGAAACTTTCCACTTTTTTATGTTATATTATTTGACAGTAATCTTATACCATCTAATCTGAAAAAAGTAGTCCAAATTTATGGTACTTTTTTGTGTTTTCATGAAGAACTAAAAACCTTATTGTCGCTGAAACAATATAGGGTCAGAAAATCTCTCACTTGTTTCCCAACATCATAATAACCAATTGGAAAAGTAAATAGGGCACTAAGTAGTTTTCATTCTGTGATAAGCTTATCTTTTTTCTATCACACATTATAATATGCTGTAATCTTCTACCAGATTTTACACAATTCCAGTGGTCTAGTGGTTGATTGCATAATAATACTAAAATTATTACGTAATATTTATATACATATACAATTTTCCTAGCTTGGGCATTACACACCACAGCAATTTAATAAACATTTATCTAAGAATCTTAAAAATATCTAACAACATATACAATTTCTAAATGTTTGACCTAGTGGTTGTGAATCAGAAAGTCTGAAGTTTAGGCTACATATCAGCTAAGATTAGCTAAACAGGAGGCATGTGCTTCTGTTTTGTTGCCCTCCCTCTTTTGGCAGTTCTAAGCTAGTGTTGGTAAGCCTGTCATAGCTGTTTAACCATAAGATGCTGTTCAGATTGAAGTTAACAATAACCAATTAATTGAAAACATAAATTTCCACTCCTCCTATTGAATCCTGCATTGAGCTCGTTCACTAAAATATTTTAAAATTATTTGCTATTTTACTGTAAAATTGTTTGTCATGACTTATAAAATTCAGTGAAATATGTTTTGGTCTAAAAATTGGATTAATAAAAACTACTCTATGTCTTAATTGGGATATTGTACTTTTATTTAGATAGATGGTGGGCTCAGTTAGAAGCAAGACAGTTTAAAAAGTTGGTGCAGGTAAGGGTATTAGTGGGTTTTTAACTAATTTTTTTACATGAAATTGTTGCCATTTCGTATACAGATGTCCTGTTTACAATTAAAAAAATAATTCTGAAAATTGTTTTTACTACTTAAGTGGATAAGAATTGTTATCTATCATTATAAAGACAGTTTGAATTTAAAAATAATTATAAAAATCATACTTTCAGTGTGAATCTTTTTTATGGAAAGTGTAAAAAAATATTATTTTTTAAATTTAAGTATATTAAAAATATTAGAGAACTTGAATAAACACAAATGAATTCACAGTTTTAGAGTCTTAAGTATGTGTAAACAATAAAATAAAATGTTGTATAGCCTGGGTAAACATCTATATTATTATTCTGCTTGTTTGTATGTACGACCGTTATGCTTTATGACTGAGAACCTGCTGCATAAGCATACGTAGTTAGAATGTTTCCCCAAGAAAAACTGCGCATGTGCATTATTCACTGAATGACAGTCTGCCTGCGGAAGAGAGCTGCAAAGCTCAATGATTAAGTCACTACAATTACTGTATGAAACAAGAAGTAACAACAAAAGGGGAATGTAAAAATACTTTACTAACCATTTTGTACAACAGAATATTAAAAACTTATCAAGGTTTTAAAGAAAGGTTTGACGTTAGGTCGTACAATAACATTATAAGTTTATTTATCGGTAGTATTAAGTACAGTAAAGTTTAGTCCTAACTAAACTAAAGTAAAAAAAAATGTACACAGATTACAGTGTTAATTTATCTCTTTATTGAATTTAGGCCTAAATAGAGTATGGCCTATATACAAGTGGATTTACACATTTCGCTGTCTACGATTACAATTTGTTTGTATTGTGCTAGAAATGTTATATTTAAAGAGGTACTGTTATGATAAAGATACTAATTTGGCCAGAAATGTTTTGCGGGTCTCTGCTAGTGTATAATAATCAATGAACAAGTTTATATCTGTATATAGACCAATATATATATTGTATTGATAACTATAAGGTAAATAATTAAATATGGAAAGTAAATAATTACAAATTATATTGTTAAAAAATATAAAGTTTTTAGCAGAAAAGGATCTCTTGAAATAAATGCTCAATAAAAACTTAATTGTCAAACTATGTATGAAATAATTTCCAGTTCCAATGAAGATCATTTGTTGAAAGCTTAGTTATTTTTATCCATTTTTTAAATAATTAAATATCTGAAATGGCATTTACTTTGCTGTATATATAGTTGCATTTATTTCTGTTTAACAAAATTATGGTCAAAGCTAATAATTGTTTAAAAATTAAGAATGAAAGCTTAGGTTTTGGTGAATTATTTAAAATAAAATATAAATTTTGAATAAATAAATTTATGACTTAAATTTGGTGATTGGTTTCTGTGTTTTTAAGCGCAAAGTTCCACAATGGGCTATCTTTGCTGTGCCCAGTACAAGTATCAAAACCTACGTTTTAACATTATAAACCCCCAGACTGCTGAGCCACTGGGGGTTTGGTGTTAAGAACTTCTGATCAAAATAGGTAAATGTGTAGATCAAAATTAAATTAATTTAAAAAGGTATTTATAAATTCATAACAATTCTTTTAAAGTAAACTGAGTTTATCAGTTGCATGTTCCTGGTTTTAAGCTTTAATCCAAATTGCACATAATGACTCACTATTTGATGCCATTACTTTAATTTCTATAGTAAGTGTTTGTAGTAAATTTAATTTGAAATTACATGTTTGTCAGAAACCTCAGGATATTTTTTAATGTGAGAGTTGTATACAAAGAGACAGTGTTAAATATTTAACTACACTTAATAGTAATTCATAATTTGTTTTACCTTAATTTTAGAATTCAGTATTTATTTTATGTACGCGGACTTACGATGCCAGAAACCAGGTTTCGATAGCCATGGTGGGCAGAGCACAGATAGCCCTTTGTGTAGCTTTGTGCTTATCTATAAACAAACAAACAAATTTACTTTATGTAATTTAAAATTTATTTAAAAATAGTTATGTTTCTTCCTGATGCTTAACCAGAGTATTCTATTAACAGGTTAGGAAAAATTATTTTATGTAGACATCTTAACCCAGATGGTTGGTCAAAATATGGAAGTTTATATTAAATAGAAAAAAATAAAGTATCCCTTTTTACATTTATAGTTAACTAATGTAGCTTGATGAAAAAATAAATACACTCAAATACATTATCAACTCTCTTGCTACAGGCTCGGTTGAATTGGCCAAGTCCGTGACCCCAAATTGACCTTTATAGATTCCATACTATAACTTTTAATATGTTTTGTGTATCTTCATGAAACTGCACAAGCTTTCAGTAAGCTTTAAGAGTCTTATAAACAAAAAATGGGAATCTAAAGAAAATTTCTCCATGAAATGAGTAAAAGTGTTAACTGCTCTCAGTGCAGTGATTTTCATGTTGGGATTAAAAATATTTTTATTCATTTGAAAATTGTGAAGTTTCATTGGCATAACCTATAAAAACCTCCTAAATAAATTTCAAATGTTTTTTCAGTAAAAATTTATATTTTTTTTCTGTTATTTTCTCTTTGTTAACTCTATATGAGGTTGGTCAATTTGACTGACCTTGTAACCACAATAAAAAAGTATGAAATAAATCTAAACTACATTTTGTTCTTTCTAGAATGACTGTAAATTGTAATTGGAAACTACAATTATTTATCCTAAATAGCTTAAAGCTCATAACAGTATACATCTATTTATACTTAATTTTATTTCTTTATTATAAATTGACCTGTGTCTAACCAACAATCTTGCCATGCAAGTTTTAAATCACTTGGCAAATATGTAGTTCACATTACTCTATCATATTATGTAAAGCATGGGCTACCTGCAAGCTGCTTGCTAGTACACCTCATTAAAATTTTTATTATTATTATTATTTTTCTTTACCTTACCTAATCTAGACTTATCTAATGTAATAATTTTTTAAATTTTAATTGGTTTTATAATAATAAAGAATACACATAAAAATCAAGAAATATACTACTTAACTGGATCTTTTGTTGTTTTTTTTTGCTGTTGACTGTCAATGAAACTTAACCGTACTTTTTTATACTAATGGTACTACTACACTAAATATTTTTTTATTTACTTAACTAATGCATCTAAGAACACAGAATGATAACACTCATAAAGCTGACAACATCCGTTAACTATCATAATTTTTATGGCTTTCTAACTATGAGAGAAAAGTAGTTAAAAAAATTTAGCTAAACTCATAAATGTGTTTCCCATAGGAATTATGTTTGAACTAGAAGCGAAATAGACATTTTTCTGTACAAAGAACAATGTAATATAATCTATCATTTGATAGATTAAAAATTTGATTCTCTATTGGTTATAAATAATATGGTATTAAATGTTAGAGAGAACTATTGGCAATTTGTGAAAGAGAGAATATGACAGGTGGGTGATGCAAGAGGGATGTGATTTTCTATTTTATGGCTCTGTAGCCAAATGAAATTGAAGGCTATAAAAATTATGCTTTGGCGGAATGATAACCATAATATAATGAGTAATTTGTGTTAAATTCCTTACTTTGTGGAGGGGTGGTAAATAAATTAGAGAAGAGGGGATGCCTAGAGAGCAAAGTCACAATTCTTATACTATTGTGAGATAGAGGATTTTTTAAATATTTTCTTATAAAATTAAGAACATAAAACTTATATAATATTAAAAATTGATTTATTAACTATGTTTTTATGCCAAGTTTATTCGTATACCATGATAATAAAGTAGTTTAATTAAATTTTGAATGTAACTATAAAAAGTCATGCATGTGCACTTTGACCTGCCCATAACAAGAGGGATAATGTTAAAATTTTATAATCTTTTAATTACTTTGCATTGCTGTACTTTTTTCAAAGAATTTCTTTGATATATGAAAATTATTTTTACTTACACTGTCAAAACATCCGACATAACCATTAATGTTTTGCATTTGTTATTTATTTATAGATATTGAACATTGAATTATCTGTTTGAATTTTATAAACATTTTTATATCTAGAAATCAACAAATAATTAAAGTATGGTATATTATAAATCTGCATTTCTAACATCATTATTGTGGTATTTTAAAATGTTATTAAGATTGTTTGCAAAATTTTCTTAAAACAGTATTTTCTAATTTAGATGTATATGTATAAGTAGTGAAAAAAACAAAACCATTTATTTTAAATTGGTTTTAATAAGTGTTGCAGGAATTCATATCCATGTTGGACAGTGACATGCACATATGTGTGTAATATTATGTTTGCTCTCTAGATCTTTAAAGACTGTGTATGCTACATACTCAACAGCATGGGTGACAGAGGAGTGCCTGAGGTAAGTTTCTCTTCTCTTCATAAGTTGTTTATTTACTTTTTATTTATTTTTAGATTTTGATGCACTTGCTTTGTTTTGTCATTGTCTGTTGGTTATTTTGTTAAATTGTTTTATTAGATTATTTAACGTGTTACATTAATGTGAAATTTTTTTGTTAACAATTAAAGGTTTCTAAGATCATTAGAAAATAAATTTTGCTTTATTGTTGTAATTTTTGTCTATTTAAATGTAAAGTAGTACTTTTGTCTAGTAAGATAATTTTTTATTTTATAATCACTTATATTTGATTGATTTTTATATTATAGTATTCAGAATAAAAGTGGAATAAAGAAAACACTATGAACTTTTAATTGAATGAAATAATTTGTAAGAGATTTAAGATTTTTTTGACATGATGTTTTGCAGGCATCTAAAAAGCATGAACAACTTCGATTATCCCTTGAGATTTTGAACAGATTGAACAATGTAAGTGTCTAAAGAGTTTCATATAGATATACATGCTCTTGTACATTTATCTTAAATTGTATGTTTGACATTTTTATGTAAGTGTTTGGTTTTATTGTAGGACCAGATTTTTTTAGACTGTACTTGAAAGTAGCAAGAGATCATTAATTCAAGGTGGGTTATCACTTAGTTGAGATTCCAATACAGGCAAGTCCCATTTTAACAAGAGGGGTTTGGACCAAGAATGTTTCATAGTTATGAATTTTTTTTTGAGAAACAGAAAATGGCCTCAAATATGTATATGCACAAAATAAAAGTAAAAGAAAGACATTATTTAACTTTATGAATGTTGTTTTATTTACCCAAGATAGTGGTTTTGTTATTTACCATGATTTAGGTGTTTTATGCTCTTAAAATACATTATTAATTAAATTTACTTACCAAAACATTTTCCTTGTATCTGCTTCCAAAAGTAAACAATAAACAATATAATACACAAATATATATACCTACAAGTATTTAAAAAAAATTTTCTTGAAATTTATTTAGCTGTATGATATTTAGGGGTACTTAAGTAAATGCTGAAGATGTGCTCCCAAAGGCCTCTTATAGTTCTCAAACTAATTATTGAGGATGTATCAGTGTTAATTAAGGGCAGCAGCTCTGATCCTCACCACATGCTGAAGATGAATAAGTTCTAGACCTGGGAGTGAGGGCTTGTGTGGATGTCTAACATAATAGACCCCTGACTGCTTTGGGGAAGAAGTTCTTGCAGCGTGATTTGCTTGAAAGATTTACACTTATTCTCTCAAAGTTTTCTTTCAACTTGATAGGTATTCATTATTTCCTGTTGTGAATAGTTAGGACAAGATTGCAAGGCATCATTAAAAGTCTTTTTCAGCACTTCAGTTGCATCATCATCCTCAGATACTTCTGTCACTGTTGTAGAAGGGTTAATAACAGACTCAACAAGCTCAGCATTGGCTGTATATTGCATTACAGGGGGCATCATTATCTATGTCTCACCACTTATTCCCAATTTCTTGCAGGACATCCTTCAGTGATACTGAGCTTTTTCCTAATTGCTTAATGGTAGTAATTACATTTTCTTTATACCAAAGCCTTCACCTTCCTTAGGTTCAAGATCATCTTCAAAATAACAGTTGGCTACAGGTTTTTCAGCAAGCAGGAGCAACACAGGAAAGATGTTTTCAGTAATTAGTATTTCTGCCTCAGGATGTGATTTACAGTTATACAAGACTAGAATGGCATTGCTTTCTTCTGGTAAACCAACTCAGAAAATGGGTTCTCAGTTACCATTTAAAAGAATAATCAAACCAACTCTGAAAAATTTGTGGCAAACACTGTCAATAAAGCCTTGTCTCATAAGTATTGAATATTTGCTCTGCAGTAAGATTATTTTCATCAGTTGGTTTTGCAAAAGTTTTTCCATACTTGGAAGCATAACACTTCTTCTGCAATAACAAGCTTGCGAATACCATGTCATTCTTTAAGAGAACTAAGCCAGCTAACAAAGAATTCACATTGTGCTTTGATCTCCATAAAATCATAAAACTGCTTGACTTTTTCCATAATTAGTAGTTGAGAAAGCAGCTTACCTTTACTGCCTTACTGTTTGAACCACTCCAAAATAACTTTGTCCAGCTTTGAAAACATTGATTTCTTATATTCTTTTGTTGTGCAAGACCTTTGTTGGATTTAGTCTTAGAATAAAACTTAAATATCTGTTCCTTCTGTGCTTTTAACTCATAGATTGTGATGATTACTATGCCATATTCACCAACAAGTTTGCTTACTGCCTCATCAGTATCAAGACTGCGTAAAATCTTGATTGTCATACTTATCATTTGTGTTACTTACTTCTTCAGAGTAGATAATGCTGTAAGGGTACCAATGGTGATTCAGTGGTGCAGTAAATGAACACAAACTCAATGTAGTGCATGGGAGACATAAGCTGATCACTTTCAAAAGACAAAGATGTCTGGCAGGGAAGTGAATGAGTGTATGCAGCGAATCAGCTCTAGGCATTGGATGAGGCCACTTCTAGAACTACAGAGCACCATGTTCAAATCATTTTTTGGTTTTGAAATTTTTTCTATTTTCTGGGGTACAAGTATTTGCTTTTCAAAGAAAGGAGAATTTTTTAGAACTCTTTATTAAAAATATGATTTTACTGTATGATGTTTCATTTTTTAATGTAATAAACTATTGGATTTAGTAAGTATGATGATTACAGTTGGTAAACATTTACTGTACGTTTGCTTCTGTTCAAAACTTCACTTTGGTCATTCTTCTGAGATGGAAAGAAGCTAGACCACAAAAATGCTTACTTATAAATTTACATACAAACTATGTAATGTCTATTTAAATAAAATAGAAAAAAAAAAATTTTTTTTTTTGTTTTTTGCTTCAAGAGTTCTCTGTGTAAAATGGGAAAGAATAATGCAAAATTAAGAAAGTAAGATGACAAATGTATCAAGAAGTAGCTTTCTTCTGTTACAAGTTTCAGTGTAGCATATATTTTGAGACATTCTGGACATAAAATTACTTTCAGACTGTAAAACTTTCAGTTATGAAACTCCTAGAGCATATTAAGGCTCAAACAGTTGTATTTGTTTTGTTGGAAAGATGAAGGTTCACATATTAAAAATTTACCAAATTTTCATATAAAGAATTCCAAGATACTGTATTAAAACATTTTTTGGATATTCAGATATCTAATACAGATTTGAAGGGGAATAGTTACTAGGCATATGAAATGAAAAAACAGGGAATATTTCACTTGGTTTTTGGTATAGATTATAGATTTTATGATGTACTTTATTTTGTATGCTAATGTTTTCATGTCATACAAGTGATACTCTTTGATTGTATTTAAAAACACACCAAGTCTGTTTAGTGTTTTTAATTATGTTTTGTCTCATGTTTTTAATGTGTACTGTTAACTTATTTTGTCTTATATTTGTAATCTCCTTTTTGTAATGTGTATGTACTGTAGGTAAATGTCGTAAATGAATACCTGATATCCTACCAAGAATTCTACATCTCTGAAGTTACAGAGAAAGTTGATGTTAGATATGACTATGTAAACTGGCTACAAATCACATCAGAACCAAGGGTAGAGTATGTTTTCCATTTGAAAAACTAAATAATTTTATTGATTAAAGTTTGTATGTAAAGTCTTTCATTTTGAAAAGATTAGAAAGCAAACATCATATAAGTAATCAATCTAAAAGAGGATACTTTCTTACATTAACATTTGGAACATTGAGAAGTAATTAGATCATGAATAAGTTAAATATTTTGGCTAGCTACTTATTAAACCCTAGTGTGTTTCTGTGAGATTACATAAAACTTACTAAACAGATGTATATTCACTGTAAAATACTATGCTGTCTTTCAAGCAAAATAACATAGTTACTGACCAATTATTTGTGTATTTATTAATAAAAAATTCGGAAGTATTAATACGTGAATTTAATACAACATTATTTTTAACAGATGCATTTTTTTCTCTGATACTATTTTATCATAGCTGCACATTGATACTTGTAGTAGTGTTAACTTTTTTCTTGATTTACATTACACTCTTATTGGGCAAGATGGATTGCATTAGTCAGATATAGCTTGTAAAAATTAAAAAAAAAATTCATGAATAGCTTGTAACAATAGAAAAAAATTATTTTTTTTATAAAATCAAAGCAGACTGCACAAGCAAGGTAAGGTAAGCTTAAAGATTAATGGTAAGTTTTGATAAATGTATTTTACTTAACAATAAAATCAGATCTGGCTAGTTTTGCTAAGTACCTCAGTCATCAAAAGTAGGTTTTAGCTCAAATACTGTTGAAACAGCTTCTCCTTTGTGGTAGTATACAAATAAGCTGTGATTGGTCAGGTTGATTAATAATTTGTTTTTAGTTTGCTTTCATTGTTTTCAAGCTAATACAACTGGAAATTGCTTAAAATAGAAAATTAACTTAAAACTCTTGTAATTTTTCTTTAACAGTAATTTGCATGTATAGTAGATTTCTGAACAACCTACCCTCAGTGAAATTGAGTGTATTAACATAGAATTTCTACTAAAACATCGAGCTTCCAATTTACATAATTGTCAATTTAAAAGAATTATCTGGAATTAGAATAATATTTGTTGGTTTAAATTATTCATTAATTGTAACACTAACTTGCATCTATTTGACTTAATAAATAGATAAAAGTGTCTGGAAAATACATATGTTTTTATAATACTGTTTACAAGGTGCACTGAATGAAACTACCCAGCAAGTTGGAAGTTGTAGATTTTGAGACATAACTGTATAGCTTGTCAATAAGATATATCACTTTTTGTGCTGTTGGGAGTAATTAATGTGTTTGATTAATCTGTGCATATGATTGATACACATTCTTATGTAATATAAAATTATGTTATATTCTACTGAAATTTTTTGTATTTTAACACATGCATCAGATTTTGTTTATAAACATTCTTTATGTTATTTTTTAACAAAAATTCTGCTAAAAAAGGGTGTAAAAAGTTTTTTTTCTATTTTAGTTTTTAATATTTTTAACTAGTTCAGCATTCTTTGTTTTATGTTCTGAATGGGATGATGATTCATTGGCTGTTATGTTTCTGTATGATTTCACAACTCTTCATCACATGACAACAGATATGGAAATATAAGGTAACTCTATACTTAAGACTAAATTTGTTTTATTTTGTTTTGTCATTTTTGATCCAAAAACAGTTCAATACATATTTGATTTGTACCTGTATCATGGTTTCTTACAATTGTTTGAAATGATTTTGAGGTAAAAATAAAAGGAATCAAACAACAATGGTGACTGTTTTGTATAGGTAAAAATAATAATCAACATTTAAGGCTTTTTACATCACAGATGTATGTACTTATTTTGTGGGGGATGGATGTTGGCCCTGTGGTAGTGCTCTGAATTTTGGAGCTGGTGAAGCAGGGTTCAAATCTGTATGATACCACAAAATATTCCCTGCAGTTTAAGCTTTGGGTGCATTATAAGAGTGACAGCTAATCCCTTAGCGTGAATGATAGGTGGTAGGGTGTTTCCAATTGGCTGCCTTTCATCTGGTCTTAGTTGGTTTGCCATTAATTCAAAAATACAAATATATCAATTTCTTTTCAGGCACTATATTAAGAAAAAAACAGCAAAAAACCTTATTTTGTATAGTAGCTGAAATATTAATTAGAGACGTGCTAGATGAGGAAAAATACATTTCACATAATTCAGAGGCTCATGTATTGTTATTAATAACATTAACCAGAGGTATGGTAAGTAAATACTCTATCTAAAAATAATTACATTACAAACTACACTGTTAATTAAAGCTAATAACAACAAAGTTTTATGAATAATAAATTACTAAAGAAATATATCTACTTTTGAATATTTTTAAAAATCTCAAAAGTTATACTGTTTCAGGTATTTTTCTTGTGCATTTTGTATTAACCATTTTGCTGCATTGTACTGTAAATGCTGGCATCTTTTCCCATCCCCACACAAATATATTTGCCTTTAGCTATGCATGTAATGCATCTCATGGGAATCTTGAAGTTATTTAATGATTATATGTACTGCAGATCATGTGACTACCACGTTTTTAACAGGATAACATGCTTTCACATTCTGTAAACCAGTGAGATAGGGTTATTTTGATACATCTTGATGAATGAAGCTTGGCACAACTTCTAAAACGAATAAAATAAATATTAATCAGAATACGACATCATATCATCCTTCTTATATTTACTCATCATTGCAGAAATGGCATTCAGATACGGTTCATTACCTCCTCTCACATTAATAGCTATTCTTGTTCAGTGCTGGCCTCTATATGCTAAAAAGTTGTTTACGCATGGCATAAGCCTTTTATTCCCCTCAATTGGAATTGACTGTTTCCAGTGTGTCTCTCATGCAAATCATCACACGACAACACTCCACCAATAAGAGTGTGACATACTCTCTTGATGCATGTTAATCCCTCTATTCAGTTCTACTGGTTAGCTCATTTCAAATGGGGGTAAATTTATCATACTCTTCTACTCTTTCCATAGTTGACTTGGATATTTGTTTTTCCAGTTGGATAATTTTTTCTTTTTACACTCCTCACATTCTAGTCTCTTTGGGGTGTGTATTCATCAGGAATATCCATTCTCCTTCACAAATGCATTCAAAGGTGTTTTCGGTTATCCAAGCTTTTACTTTGGGTTTTTCTCTTCCCTCTTCGTCCATATGCATTAATAGTTTAACATATTCCCCATGACTTCGGTTTTACTGCATCCTCCACCTCTTCTGGATTGTTTCTCTTTTCTGATGCTCATCTCCAAAGGTGGGCTGTGTGGTTTTATCAGGAGAAGGCTTCAAGATAATAGTCTCCACTTGAGAGGTCTTATCACCTTCACACCCGGACACTTCTGCCATTCCAAGGTGCTTTAGTTCACACTATTCTTCTTGTCTAGTTTGATTGATCCTGTTTCATTTCAACTTTTGATGGTGGTGGCTTATATCACTCGCCAAGGAGACACTCTTTCTTATTCCCTTTGAGGTAAACAGGGTATTTTTTTTTGAACCCACACATTTGACATACATCTCCTTGCGGGTCGTGTTCCAGGTGCTTTGTCTTTGTTGCTAATTGAATTTCCAATCCTGACACTTTCTTCCACATTATGACCTCTCTATCCTCCTAAATTTTGATGGCTGTACCTTCTGTGGGGTACTCTTCCATGTAAAGTTCTTGAATCTTTTCTCACTTAGTTTTTGGTCTCTGGTTCATCATCCTCTTTCCCTGACTATCGTCAAGTTCAAATAGGTGTACATTAGTTTTTTCTCATTCTATTAGTCTTCTTCCTCAAAATTTTGAGCATCCATGTCACTCTGGTTTAGGTTTTTCTGACTGATCTTTCCTGGATGGCACTGCTTTAGTTTTTCTTGGTGTTTCGGCTCAAATTGTTTCTTTTGTTATGGATCCATTTTATTAACCTACATTTTAGTGGCTCTTGGAATATTTCTTTAGACTTTTTCATTTCTTACCATCTTCCATGTTTCTTGTCAGTGGGATCCGGATTACCTTCTTGGTTCAGTACATGCTGTGGGTTGCTTCTTTCTGTTAAATCCATTTTCTGCATTTCCTCCCCTTACTCCACTTCTTTGTTTGTGGTTTTTCCTTTCCTCCCTTGCCCATTGGGCTTATATTGTGATTCGGTTGGCCTGAATTTGAGCATTTAAGGAATATCTGGTCAGGCACCACTCGCCACAGAGCAAGATCCAGCATGAAAAAAGAGGGCCATACCTCTGAAAAAGAAAAGCTATGTATACAAAAACGTAACTTACCCAGTCACAGTCTCATGAAAGATTGAAGGATGGCAACAGATAGATGACAGTACTCTGACAAGGAAGAAACATCTGCCCAAAGCAGAGAATGGGATATGATCATAGAAGATGTAGTTCCAGTGCTTGACAGATGAAGTACCTCCAACTGATGGCAGGGTAGACATGCAGGGAAAAAGGAAGGTGCATGATAGAAGTGAAGATACCAGGAAGTGAAGATCAAAATAAGGAGACAAGGAATAAACACTGTACACCCATGTCGACTTGCATATTATAATTCCATGGCTATGCAATGCACACTGCAGAGATGGGGTGTTCCACAAAATCACTTGTAGATTTATCCTCGCAATAGAATTGCTTCATAAGTTTGCCCGTCCCTAACTGTACTCGCCTATGAACTACATGGGTAAAGCAGAAGGGAAAAGCTGCCCATTCCTGCCATGCCTTGTATTGAATAAATTGGTATGGTCTGTTTTTAAAAATAGGGTTTTGTGGTCACCTATTGCATTGTCTCAGGTGTTGTTGTTTCTCAGGACTCTCCACCTCTGTTTCTCCCCCTTTTCTTCTTGTGGAGTTTGAAAGTCCTTACCACTCTCCATTACCAAGCCACTGTGGTGGTGGACCGTGGAGGAACCAGAGGGAATCTAGTACTCCCTGACTCATGAACAGGTCACATGTTAATATCTTGAACTGATAGATCAATCCGGGAACCCAACATCCAGTATTAAAAATATATCTGCATAATGTAAACCATCTCCCTCAAAAGTGAAATTTACCGGATTCTCCCCAAGCACAGTAACATCCTCAGAATAATAAACATTGAGGGACAGCGAAAAAAAAATAATAATCTGCAATTACCTCCACCGTGACCCACTGCACTGATAGAGTAATAATGAGGAAGACATCTGTAATACATGTATGAGGACTTATATTATTGGTTCTTCTGTAAATCCAAAACCCAGCCACTGGGAACCAACATCTACGTGGGGGTAGGATGAGGGATCCCAATGAAAGGGGTGAACTACAACTTTGACGACTCACTCCCATTTATCTTTATGTGTGTCATATTGGAGGATATCACATCATCTAAACCAGCACAACACCACTGCCCTACTCTCAACTGAATGGTTTTATAATCATTTATATATATTATTTGTATTTCATTATCACATTCAGGAGGATGGAGTTTTGGCAGAAAAATTACAACTTCCAATATGGTACATTACCTCTTCTCACATAAATAGCTAGAATCCCACATTGAATAGGTGGAGGGACTGGTGCAAGGGAAAGAAAGAAGCATTTGAAGGACACTCCCCAAGATGAAATAGTCAGATTCTAAGATTTCATGTGGGAGACTGCACCACTTCTGAACCAGATATATTCCTTGCCCATTGGAGAAAGATGTCACATATATGAGCAGAAAAACAGAGGAGCACGTCCAAGTTGAGAAGAACTATGGCCGGATAGTTATCCGAACCATAAAATATTTATGAAACTCAATCCTAGAAAATATAAAAGTGGGTAAAATGAAAAGGATGTACCCATAGGTGTAGAATGACTAGGGCATGACTGAACACACACAGCAAGTCAACTACATCCAAAACACAAGCCGCTGGGAAATAACATCCACACGGGGGGTAGTATGAGGATCATATCGTCGATAAGTCAACTACAATCCAAAACTCGGCCGCTGGGTACTGATATCCATGTGAGGGTAGGAAAGAAAATCATACCAGTAGCAAGTAAAATCCAAAATCTAGCCATCTAGCAGGAGTAGGAAAGAGGATCATACCTCAAGTTCATGACATTACAAGCTGATTTCCCTAGTGATTCTCAAATTAAAAAGTAATAATTTTCCTATACTGAAAATGTATTTTCAATAGTTACTTACCTCCTCTCATATAAATAGCTATTCTCATTCAATGCTGCCCTCTATATGTAAAAAAAATGTTTACAAAAGCCTTTTATCTCCCCTTAATTGGAATTGACTGTTTCAACTGTGTCTCTCAGGCAAATCATCATGCGACAACCCTTCAACAATAAGAGTGTGATATACTCTCTTGACACATGTCACTTCCTCTATTCAATTCTTCCAAACTATTACTTCCATCATGCATCTGCTTCAACACTGCATCTTTGGGTGTTACTGTTTCACAAAATATGGAAACAAATGATTTCTTATATATTATTTTAATCTTCCTTTTTGAAGATAATGATACTTTTGTGCTCATTTTTTTATGTTTTGCTGTCAGTGCAGTAATCAATTGACGAACCTCCGATTCAGCTGGTATTTCAAATTGAGTGGGATATCTTGGAATAGATTCTTCTTCCATCTGACCTGGACCCACAGTTTAACTTAATCACTATACTTAAACCATCACATTCACAAACACATCTAGAACATTTCAAGCATATTTCATTGCAACATCATTTTGGTTTACATTTAGTTAACTCCTCCATGTTGGCTCATGGTCTCAGGTCAGGTCACGGGTCCAGATATGGATCTGGTCCAACAACCTAGACCTTGAAGATATTGCCAAATGTCTTCTTTTTGTCTAATCAAAACAACCCAAACCTAATTTTTTTGAATCCACATCAAGATGCTGAACTGGCTTATGTGGCAGGAGTTAAAATGTGTTTTCAACATACTTCTCATAAAAGCTCATCACACACTTAAAACACTTGAAGAAAAGTTTTGAAATACATTATTAAATTACAGGGTTGTATTGCATGTTTTATCAAACTTTTCATAGTTTGACTTTGCAAGAAGAAAACTAGCATGCAGTAATGTTTTAAATTTATTTTATTTCATTGTGTGTGGACTTGCTGCACCATGTTGTGTTTTAAGTTACAAGGTAGATTTAAGTAGGCTTATGAAATATGTACATGTTTTTAGGACAGGCATGCTTAGTGTAATATTTGTGCCACATGTATAATTTTGTATTTTCTATGCATTTTTCTGAAATGAACTACTGTTTCAATTTAATTGTATTAGGATTCAAGTAAACACTAACATAAATACTCTTTAGTTTTATGATTGGAAGAAAGTAACAATACTCTTCAAAAACATCTACCATCTGAAATGCTTTAACTAACATATTATTGAAATTTCAAAAAATTTAAAGATGTCACACAAAAGAACTTTTAACATCTGGAATACTCAATACAACAGGATCTATATAATAAATCAATCCACCAATAAAAACAAAATAACCTTAAAAAAAGTTTACTTCTTTTTTTTGGTCTTGTTTAAAGCTCTTTTTGTTTTCAGAAGGGACGACTTTTTTTTCTGTGATTATCCTTTTGTATTTGATGCTCAGGCTAAAACATTAATACTTCAGACAGACTCTGCTATACAGATGGAGGTAAGAGGATTTGTTGAATTAATCTTTTTTAGATCATTGTAAAAGGTCTTTAAGAGTACATTAATTTTCATTTAATGGTAATTTTGTACACATATCTTTAAAAGAAACTAGTCGGGAATGAGATTTGTCAGGTACACATAAAAATTTTCTAAATTGTTTTCAGTAATTAAGAACATTTTATTACAAATGAAAACATAATGAATATTACAGCAAAATTATTTTCAGTTTCATAAGCTATAAAGCATGGTACAAAATCATAAGACCAGGGAATTTCAGACACACAAGAAATAAGTGTCTTATTAACATGTATTGTATTATCTGTTATTACATTATCATGTCCATTTGTTAGCCAAAATTTACTGTGAAAAAAGGGTTATTACAATACATAAAAAGTCCAGCATGCTTTAAAACTGAAATACAAATATGCAGAAATTCATGCATGAATATATGTAATATTCTGTATCTGCTTTTTAGTGATTGGTATATGAATTTACATTAGTGGAAACTGATTTATATAAGTATTTTTTTCAAATTTCATGAAATAACCAATTTGTATATTAACTGATTTGCAATTTTTAATGTTGAAACATGTTAGTGTCAAAAGATGTCAAATATTAAGTGTTTACAGATCATCCTATCAATGACTAATATGAATATCTATTACCTCAATTTTAAATCTTAAATATTCACCAGAAAGCATTTAGCCCCTTTGGCTTCATTTGCTGTTCTTGTCCCTGACTAATACTAAAATAATTTGTTATAATAATAAATACTCACTTGAAACAATTTTCAAGTGTTTACATACAAAATAATTCTTCACTTATGAAGTTTAGGGGGTTTATTCTAAGTCTTGTGTGTCTACTTTTCTTTGTTTTGTTTTTTACTTTTGTCTTCAAAGGCTATGTTTGAAAAGTGTATGCCCATAACTTTTTAGAATGTCCATTTTAAGATAAGTACGTACATAAAGAAATAGATAAAGTGGTAGCAACTTTTGAAATCTTGAGTTAGTTGTTAAATCACAAAATATTGTTTTCAGTTCAGAAAAAGTAACTTTTTTTGCTTAGAATTGTTGAAAATGGTAATAATTGTGAAAAATATATGAATTCCTGTAAAGTATACTGATACTAGATGTTTTAACAGTTTCTTATGAAAGCCAAAATCCGTGTAGTTCTTATAAACATGATGCAGTGCTAGCAAACAAATAATGAATTTTGTCTATGTTGAGCATATTGGCTTGAACTTTCTATTGTTATATTAAATTGTGCTTGAATAATTCTTAAAAGTTAGAGCTCCAAAGAATATCAAATACTATCAACAAAGGAGCTTCCTGCCTGCAATGACTCAGCAGTAAGTCAGTGGACTTATAACTAAAAATCAGGTTTTGATACACATGGTTGGACACAACACAGATATCCCATTATGCAGCTTTGTGGTTAACTACAAACAAACAAAGTCAACAAAGAAAAATAAGTATTATGAACATCCTATGTAACTATGAAGGGAAATTACAATAAAGGAACAGGAAAACCTTTCTGATCAGTCATAGTGTTTTTCAATTCCGAGACCTAATGACTATGGCTCTCCATTTCTTGTTGTGTGCACCAACTTTCCTAATTCAAGCTTCTCATCATCAATTTATTTTCTATTAAACCTTTCTAATAGAGGTATTAAAAATATATAGAGATTCAGTAATCCTTTTACATCCTGATATTTTCATCAGTAAATGAGTATTTTTTGTAGTAGAACTGTGTCATGATATTAAAGACTGTTTGGTTTAAATATTAGTGATTAATTTATATTTGCGATTGAATACTTTATTATTTTTAAGTTTTGTTATAATAAGAGTTAAAAACAGACGGTTGTACAAGGTTTTGTTAATAACTATTTGTTGTCGAGAATATAGACAGTGGCCAGACGACTATGTAATAAAGATATAAATAGCGTGAGATGAGCAGAAACAGCAGACAGATAATAGCAGAATAAAGTAAAGTTACAAAGGGAAAAGTTAACTACCATAGACGTCATAGGCCTAACATTTAGTATGTTAGAGTGAAACTAACAGTATAAAAAAAAGATAAGAAGGATAATTTTATTCCATCAAAGCATGGATCTAAAGTAATTGAATCAGCCTGGGTACACTTTGATAAAAGGAACAGAGGATCTTCAGAAGAAAGAAGACCAAACGATTTACAGTAACTTGTGCCACAACTAAGTGAATCACACACAGAATACTAGCATGATAGTAATATAGAGAAGATAGGTCGACTTGTCAACTGAAATTCTGAAGTAATGGAATAGGCCTAAGTGGACTATATATAAATAGTGTTTATGATATGCCTGTAATCTCTGTTGTGTGAAGACTTTGTTGTACATACGTTTAACTTGTTCCGAATATATATATTATTTGAAAACAAATAAAGTCTGTGCTGTATATTCATTGTTGAATTTATCACTAACAAGTCACAGTCACTACTTATACTATTAAGAAATATAAGAAAAAGCCATTTATTTCAACAATTGTCGAAAAAATTATGTATATACATTTTTTTTTTGAAATCTGACAAACTGAATGGGACAAATATGGAGTTTTAGACTCTGCACATGAAAGCACTCAGGATTAGAGTATTTAAAATAATATTAAAGGTAATTCCAAGAAAACCTTGGTAACACTAAATGAATTTCTTACCTAAACTTTCTTTGATAGATGAACTGTAAGCATTACCTACTATTTATAAACAATTTGTGCCAGTAAAGAGATCTTGAAATTTTTCTGATTGTGTGTTTTATTTTCACAGTTACATATGTTTAAAAACAATTGAAATATTAATTATTTTTGTGGTTTTCTGTGCTTCGTTAATGTTTATTCTAGTATTTTGCATGTATTAATAAGCTTTTAAGACTGTTGAGACACTTTTCTTGCATTCCCCCCATTTTGTTCGAAAATATTAGTACACACAATGGTCATTCATGCAATTTTCTAAAATAAATACCTAAAACATTAGAACTGAAAATTTATTTCAGTTTTTGGGGGCTATACTTGCATTTTGAAACTGGCTTCTCCATCTTTCCAGTTGAGCTATAATTAGATCAATTTCTCTAATTGTAGCAGTAACTTTTGTTGACATAAAAATGTATTTTTAAACTCTTAATGAATTATGCAGATGTTGCTATTAGTATTCTTCACAATGGTTATCAAATTTAAAAAGACAAAAATTGCAGTTAAAATATAGACTATAAGTAAATGTACTTGTGCTGTATCTTTAGTATGAATTGTGTGATATTACAGAAAAATGTTGTTTATATATGAGTATGATAACATGCTATGCATTCAAATAAGAAAAATGATGGATTTATGTGTCTCATCAATGTTCTTAAAAGATTTGTATTAAGTAGTTATACTTTAAATTGTTGTGTAATATTATATCCTGTGTTTAGTCTGCCATGAACTCAGCTCATCAGCATAACCTGGCAAGTATTTTTATGCCCATAATGAATCCTGTGAATCCATACATGGTTTTGTGTGTTTCTCGAGAACACCTGGTCAATGATACCCTCCATCAGCTTGGGAATTATCCATCTGCTGACTTGAAGAAACCACTGAAGGTATGATAACAAAGTAAATACAGTGTAAGTGTGATTCATAAATTGCTAAAGATATTTTTTAAACATTTTAATTGTTGTTTTTCAGGTATTTTTCACAAAAGTTAAAAGGCTTATGAAATTTTCAGTTAGGTACTTGTCAGTGTGGATATAAACAAACAAAATAATATCTTTAGCAAACTTTTTTCCAGTTGTGTTATCAAAAGGCTTTCATACACTTTTGAATAGGAGCAAAGGGTATAAACAATGCTATTGAATCATTCAACTTGAAAAGGTATAGATATAAGCCATACAACATGTTTTACATTTGACTTTTTATATAAATAAAACAAAGCAAAAGTTTTTTGTTAAGAGATCAATTTTATTTCAACATTTCTGTGAAATATACATCATGTGTATTCATCCAAAATAACATGTGCTCAGACATACTTGTATCTCAGTGGAGAGCAGACCTCAGTACATTGTGGAAATACAGTATGCATTCAAAAATAATGCCTAAAAATATATAATTCTGGAGGGAGGATTTTAACACAGTGTGAAAATAGAACAATATTCATTCAAACAATTTATTCATCTGAGTTTCCGATATGGTTCATTACCTACTCTTACAGTGCTGCCCTCTATATTCAAAAATGTTTTTTGCATGACACAAGCCTTGAGTATCCCATGTACCTTATGATCAAATGGTTCAACTGTCTCTCACACGTAAGTCATCATGCGACTCCCTCTGTTCAATTCTACCGAACTGTTATTTCTCATTTGGCAGTGCTCGTGTCAAGACATTTTGTATTGCGCACTTCAAGTGTTTTTTTGTTCAACTTAGTGGAATTTTTTTTATTAATTCTGAAGTGGAATTGTCCTTTTACATTTTACAATAGTTAACAAACTTTCAGATAACTTATTTTTCTCAGTTTTAATTTTTTTTATCACTGTTGTGTTTGATCATTCATTGTTACACAGTGAATTCCAAAGTCCAAGTTACAACTTTGGAGGAAATGCCTTATATCAGTACCCTTACACAGGCTGCAGGTGGAGGTAACTGGTCCATGGAATTATCGGCTTTCATCTTCCAGGAGATTGATCATTATATGAGTCGACCTGTTTCTCCTGTTGTTGCCCAAAAGGGTTAAGCCTAGCTGATTCCACAGTAAGGAAAAAAGAAGACACAGCAGAATCAGGTGGAGGAAAAAGGATATCAAAATCCTAGTTGAGCTGATCACATTCTGCATTTTCCGGAGCCATATGATATGGGTCACAGGTGAAAGGCCATGTCATCTCGTTTGTTTACTCGCATTCAAAATTTTATTGAACTACAATATTATGAATTTATGTCAATAATTTTGGTATCAAACTGTAGATTATAATTGAAAATTCAATACTATACAATACTCAATTTCTTAATTTAGAAGTAAATATTAAAAAAATATATAGATAAACATTGATTTTTGTGTTTGACTTGGTATGTTGAATGGAGCACTGGTTTAAATTAGATGTTTGTGAAGTCAAAATACTAAGTCTATAGTTTTGTACGAATTAGAAACTCAAATTACCGATATTGACGAGCTAGAATTAATAATAAGAACATCTTATCTTTTCTATTTGCTAAGATATTGCTCATGTAATAAATCAAACACAGTGGCACCCCGCCCACCTCTTTCCATTTTTGGAAATGCTCCCTTATATACACTTAATTCTATATATGACATGAATAACCATTCGGAAGATTGGAATGTTCTCCTGGTGGCTTTCCCAGCCATTTTAATGGGCTTGGATGCCAAATTCTTTCTTTTGAACCAATATTTCAAGGAGGTAAGGTATGTCTTTAGTCTGCTT